TAGTGCTTCATAAAGAAAGCAACAGAATACCAAGCAAGAAGGGTGTAAGGCAGGGGGACACAATCTCCCCAATGCTATTTACCACGTGCTTACAGGAGGTTTTCAGAAGCCTAGAATGGGAACAGTTAGGGATAAGAGTTAATGGAGAGTACCTTAGTAACCTGCGCTTCGCCGATGACATTGCATTGCTGAGTAACTCAGAGGATGAATTGCAACTCATGATTACGGAGTTAGACAAGGAGAGCAGAAAGGTGGGTCTTAAAATGAATCTGCATAAAACGAAAGTAATGTACAAAAACCTCGGAAAAGAGCAGCGCTTCGAGATAGGTAATAGTGCACTTCAAGTTGTAAAAGACTATGTCTACTTAGGGCAGGTAATAACCGCGGAGCTGAACCATGAGATTGAAGTAACTAGAAGAATAAGAATGGGGTGGAGCACATTTGGCAAGCACTCTCAAATTATGACAGGTAGATTGCCACTATCCCTCAAGAGGAAGGTATATAACAGCTGTATCTTGCCGGTACGTAGCTATGGAGCAGAAACCTGGAGACTTACAAAGAGGGTTCAGCTTAAATTGAGGACGACGCAGAGAGCAATGGAAAGAAAAATGGTAGGTGTAACCTTAAGAGACAAGAAGAGAGCAGAGTGGATCAGGGAACAAACGGGGGTTGAGGATATCATAGCTGAAATCAAGAAGGAGAAATGGACATGGGCCGGGCATGTAGCGCGTAGACAGGATAACCGCTTGTCGTTAACGATAACTAACTGGATTCCAAGAGAAGGCAAGCGGGTTAGGGGAAGACAGAAGGTTAGGTGGGCAGATGAGATTAAGAAGTTCGCGGGTGTAAATTGGCAGCAGCAAGCACAGAACCGGGTTAACTGGCGGAACATGGGAGAGGCCTTTGTCCTGCAGTGAACGTAGTCAGGCTGATGATGATGATGATGATGCCGGGTAAACAGAAAGCCTTGCACTGATAGCGGCGAGCAAAGCGTCGGCTGTCGATCAACTGAAAAGTGGCGAAGCATGTCGGCATTTATACACTTGCCATCGAATGTTCTAGCATTATCGCTAGCGGTGACGTAGGTTCCCGAATAATCTGAAATGTTCACGAAGTGGGCATAATGTTAACAAAGCGATCTACTGCCTCGAAGCCTTTCGAACATCGTAAGCGCGGTTTGCACTTGAGGGAAGGAATGTGGCAATATCATATCTGCATTTCTAGCCAACATTATTAATAGAATAGCCTGAGTCTTCCCAATTCACGAAAGGGGTGCAGACTTTCCTGTGATTCATCATCATAATCATCATTTTATTTAATTTACCCTCATGGGGCATTACATAAGGAGGAGAGTAACACTAATAAGTAACACCACGTCACAAAAAGGCATCACATAAATAGTGCTTCGAAAAAAAGCAAAACACACGAAAAAGAAAGAAAAAAAGAAAAAAAAGATGAAAATTAGAAAGCAGATAAACGCGCAAAGAGCAGGGCTGCTATCCGGTCAGATGACAGTAGTGCCGTGAAAATAAATCTTTAAATTTAACATAACTTCTTTCACTAACAATATCGTCATGTGGTGCATTTCAATATGAGATGGCAGTAGGTAGAAATAATTTGTTGAAGGCGTTAGTCAAATGATGAATGCGTTGAACACTATTAAACAAAATTCGTGATGATTTCATGGGCGGTACGATTAGCCTCTCGCGTAATTGAGGAAAGTTGTGCCAGAGCTTATGAAAATGAAAAGAATTGCTAATTTGCGAGAATTTCTGATCTATATCAACACTAGCACTCTTCAAAAATTTGAGAGGTTGTTGCGGACTTACGACTCGAGGAATTTTCAAGTAAGTTTACTTTAATTAGTACAAAACAATATATATTACAATGAATAAATAATGTTAATGTCAACCTCCTGAAAATTAAAAACCAAGAATTAAAGTATTGTAAATCTTTAAGGTATGCACGGTTGGTTTATTACTGGACTTGGACAAGCATCTGAGAGCGTGGACCCGAAAACACTTTTATCCAAACTTCAAAACTACTTGACAAGCACTACCACATTCGATCTTACGCCGAAGCTACTTGACGGATCGTCTTCAGTATGTTTCAATGAATCAGGTGGCCCCTCCTCATTTTAAAATACAAACTGGCTTACCGCAGGGATCTATACTTGACCCAGTATTATTTAATATATAATTAGCATCACCTACGCCGAATGTTACGGACGACACTACTCTTTTCTAGATTCGTGACCTCAGTAATGTAGTAGGCCCTATGTGTAAAATTAGCAGTCTTACACCTTTACTACTATTAAAATCAATGTACTGCACCCTTTTTTACTGAAAACCTAGATGCTGTGCATTGATCTAGGGAATAACAATAACTGCAAGAAACTATGACAAATGAATTAAGTTCCATAAAGGGTAGTACGATATTTTAAAAGCTATCACAGTACACCTCGAGATTTGCCTACGCGAATTACTTTTCATTAACAATTATCAATCACACAAAATCAAGTTTGTTAGCAGAGGTTACTTTGGCGCATAAAAAAACATAAGCTTCACGTTAGTAGCGTACCCATTTCTTCTCCTCAATATATATTGTGCCACTAAACGAGAATGCCACCAATCAGGCGAACTAACTGTGGATGCCGGGACCAATGAATAAATACTTCGGCTGTTGAACATTGCTGATCATCACATATATTTTTATGCCAACTGCTTTGAACAATTCGTCAAAAACTTTCGGTTACATTCTGCAATAACTTATCAACAAAATGCGTCCTACTAAACCTTTATGTGCATATAATAAACATGTTTTTGGTTTGTGCTGCAATTTGAAAATTCATAATTTAATGCACATGGACATACATTATTGTGATGTTTGTATGATGTGTTTGTTTTCATAAAAAAGTTTGTACTATACGTTCGTTTTTATTAGGTGTTTGTACGATGCCGACATGTATTGATTTATTTGGAGATAAAATCATGTACGTGTATGCTTAATTGAAATGTTCTCGCTGTTGTTGCACTCGCATCAAAACCATGTAGATGCATGCCGAATGCCCATATGACTAAGAACCTCTGTTAGCCAATATGTCCTTTAGCCCTTACTTCCCCTTCTGTATAACAAAGAAATGTCAGCTATCAGCTTCGAAGGAGAGAGAAAGAACGAGACGAAAAAGAAAACAGGGAGGTTAACATGGCACGGGTAAGTTGCTCGGTAGCTGACACAGGGGAGAGGTGAAGTGCACTGAAGTGGGGTATGCAGACTCGCCCACCTGCCGTGCTCCCAAAATTCTTCCCTGTAATATATGTGCAAACATCCACATATAAAAGCACATGCATGAACATACATAAAGGTTGGCTGAGCATCCCATCCCACACATAAAAAAAGTTTCTTGTTTAGCCTTTGCTCAAGATTGCCGCATGTATGTATTACTGTCTACGCATTCATTGATATGCGGGGTTCGACATATCGAAACCACCATATGATTATGAGAGACGCCATAGTGGAGGGCTTCGGAAATTTCGACCACCTGGCGTTCTTTAACGTGCACCCAAATCTGAGCACGCAGGCCTACAACATTTCCGCCTCCATCGGAACTGTCTACGCATTACTCGTCAGTTTTACTAACTATGACACATTCAGCAAATACGTCACTTTGATTTCAGTACATTCTTACGTAATGCTGCAACCTATTTTTTTTGTTTCTCGTTTCCTATGTATATACTGCGCTTTTCTGTCTAATATTCCTAGTTGTATTTTTTGTTTTACTGATTTTCTCTAACGATTGTATCTCAGTTGTGTTAGAATGTTATCTTCTATATTGCAGTTGTATTTGCCCCTACACTGTATAATTCTGTAAAGTCTTGATGGTATAATAATTAAATAAATAAATAAATAAATGAATAAATAAATATAGTTAGTCCCAACTGAGTAAAAAAACAGATTGGAAATTGACAGGTGAGTTGTGAGTGATTTGAATACTCTTTGGCTTATTTCTCGCTTTTTCAGCTGACCGATCACTTCAAGCCTGTTCAAGTTCAAAAACCGGATAATGCTCTTCTGGGGGACGACAACTTTCAGACATTGTAAAACCGTACGGATGACGAGCATCTGCGACGAAATCCATTAATATACTACGAAAGCATACTATACGCTTAAGTAAGGACCTTCGAAGGTAAAACACGTGCTACCCTCTCCCCCCCTTTTCCTGCACTAAACTTCACAATTGAATTCGACCGCTTCAATAATTCGAAAGATTGAAAGCCTCATTGTGACAATAAATACTACTCAGAATGCAATGCCACATAAACGGGCATGAACCTGAGCACCAAACAAATAAACTCTCCTTTTGAAAAGAACATACCCATAAAAACCAGGAAGTACAGAATAAAAGCAGGTACGTCAGTGAATTGCGCGATCACGACGCCAAAATCAAGGACGCTGGTGCATCTACCGCCACATATTCATAACGCTGGAAGATTTAAGGCGAGCAAGAAGCAGTTAACTCCAGCAAAATATTTTTATGATGACACCACAAAAGATGTTGGGACAATATAAAGAGTAACACAGGGCAAGAAGTGTGCAATTGAAACTGATGTTCTGTATAATCAGTCATTACAGACGCTGAGGGGAAGATTAACGTACATGAAAGCTACGACCCATGCAACATTGTTTACACAACAGCCAGCGTTGAGTCGCAAATGAGTAGCGAGAAAAGAATCGCCCGTAAACTATTTTTATATGGTATGCATGACATGAGGAAGTGATAGAACGATCAGGTGAAAATCAGCCTGTGAAGAGCGGCCCAATAAATGGTCCACCAAATAAATCCTTTGTCGTTGGTTAAGTACAAATCGCATGACACTGATTATGATTAAAGAAGAATATGACAAAATATAAGATCAATAAATGATAGCTGCCTAATCGCGAAGGCCTTAGCAACCAGTAAAACAGTTCGAATAGATCACATAACGGAAGAAAGAAGCGTTATGCCCGCGCACACTTTTGCCGCTTTGGACTACGTGGTGCTGGTTTCTCTGCTGGCGCTGTCGGCTGCAATCGGCGTGCTGTTCGCCTGGCGTGACCGTCGAAAGAACAACAATAGACAGTTCCTTACGGCCAACCGTGAGCTCAGCTGGGTTCCGGTATCTATGTCAATGATGGCGAGTTTCCTTTCGAGCACGTCAGTGCTTGGCTTGCCTTCGGAAGTGTTCGTGCGTGGTTCGACTATGTGGACAGGAGCGATAGGGACAACTCTGGCGATCCTCATGGCTGCGTTCATTTTTATGCCCATGTACTACAAGATGGACATCACCAGCATCAACGAGGTACGTGAGCCCCCCCTCCCCCTGCCGCGTCTTAAAAAAAAGCCTATCAAATGAGTTATTCCCCGAATACAGTGCAGAGTACTGTAAGTTTTCGAGGAAACTACATTTTTTGTGGTTGAAAGTGTATCTCTTTGTGTCTCTTCATGATACCATATTCTTCGTACATTCTGGGAAATGTTTTGCTGTACGCCGTTTTAAGTTGTCGTTATGTAATGCAGTTGGACGTGTTTTGTGCGAAAGATGCTGATCAAAGAAACATTGATGAAAGCTCGTTTACTCGTTTCAGAGGAAAACATCTGCGAATGGCGGTTTTGTTGTTCGAATACTACATCAATTGTCATCTGTGGGATACTGTACAGCTGCGACAGAAGGAATAAGATGGGTGTGTTGCAAAATGCATCGATTCAAAATGAATTGACTCAAATGCACGGTGCTAACATAGTAGAAAAGAAATCAGTACACCTTGATCAAAAAATACTGATCATGCTTTCAATAATTTTACAGTAATTATGCCACCTCCACACCACTTCCCCACACCTTTATTTAGACAGGTGTATACTGTCGTGGTGCTCAGGAGGTATTTGAGCCAAAATAAAAATTTTTCGTTTAACTGCAACACACCGCGCGACTTTCTTCAGCAGAGTGGTGCAGTGGAAGCGTGCTGAACCTATAATCAACTTTCTTCTATCGCATCAAGCTTTAAGGAGTCGAAGATTGAATTTCACGGGTGAAAATGCTGGGCTGCATATGCAACAGAAATCGGGACAATCACAATATTTTGAAGGGAAAGTCTTAGAAAATTCCATTTCACGCACTTGCAATATGATCACTTCTGATATGCTCACTCCGATAGCGAATGACGTGTTTCATTTGATACGATAGAAGGCAAATAAGCGAAGTACTAGAAACTCTCTGAATAAAATCGCACTTTAGACGTAACAAAGCTGAATGATTCATTGACGAATGACGTTTCTTACAGTATCTTGAGAAGAGGTTCACATCACGGGCCGTCAGAAAGATCGGATCAATAATTTTTATCGTACACACGGTGAGGAACAATTTCTTATTTGATACCTCCAAGAACGATGCTTACTTTTGGAATATAACAAGCTAATATTAAAAGTTCAGACAGTTTCTTAGTCATGCGCAGCTTCAACACTGCTTGCATTGCTTTCATGCGTCAACGCTGGGCGCCGCTATGTGTTCGAGTAGTGCACTCTAGCATGAGAGGTTTACAGCTTTGCCGCGGATAATATTTCGTTCATGCAGGTTGGGTCATGCGTTGGTTTGTTATTTCTCACTCATCTGCATAATGTGTGGCCATCTGTTCTGCCTTTTGAATTGTTTCCGTTAGCATTGACCTTGTCAGTCACTCCTATTATCATGATAAGACAAAAAGTTTATAATCACTGTTTTCGTAACGAGCTCCACGCTTAGAGCTCGACATCCCGGAAAAGCCACCCGGTACTTACGATTTAATCAATGTTGTCAAGTGCTCATGAGAATGTCCCAGCCATAGTGTCATTCAGCTAGCATTCTCATGACATTAAAAGCGTTTTCCACTGGGCTTTACGAGCGCTTGTGAAAAAACATCGTGAGACAATGCTGTGTAGTCTCAAGCTGGCTGTTTGTCAGTCTCTTCCTTACTGTTCTACTTTTCTCCCTTTCCTTTCTACTCTTCCCCCTTTTTCCGCCTCAAGTTTAGGGTAGCCAGCCGACTCAAGCTTGGTTATGCTCCCTGCCTTTCCTCTCTGTTTTTCCCTCTCTTTCTCTCTGTCTCTCAATTTATTCTGTGTTCGTAAACACGTTACAAGTTTCTTTGTTTTCGTCGCAGATGATATACCTAGGTGTTGCGTTATACGGTCCTTCACTGGCTCTTGGATCTGGTAAGCGAATTTCTGACCTCTTCTAATGCAAATGAGACAGACGAAAAGGCGAAAATACCTGAATAATACAAACCACGAGTATCTGTGGGAACAACAACAAAAACAACAACAACAACAACAACAACAACAACAACAACAACAACAATAATAATAATAATAATAATAATAATATTAATAAGCCTGACTACGCCCACTGCAGGGAAAAGGCCTCTTTCATGATCCACTAATCAACCCGGTCTTGAGCTCTCTGCTATCATGTTATCGTTATCAGAAGACTACTTGTTACTCCGCTTTCAAACATAAGACACATTTAGATTAGATTTGTGGGGTTTAACGCCCCAAAACCACCATATGTATATGAGAGACGCCGTAGTGGAGGGCTCCGAAAATTTCGACCACCTGGGGTTCTTTAACGTGCACCCAAATCTGAGTACACGGGCCTACAACATTTCCGCCTCCATCGGAAATGCAGCCGTCGCAGCCGGGATTTGAACCCGCGACCTGCGGGTCAGCATCCGAGTACCTTAGCGACTAGACCACCGCGGCGGGGCATAGGACACATTTAACTGCAAAAATTATTCTAAGCTTCGGTGCCTGAGGTTTGCCAGAAAGATGTTACTGATGTGGTTTACAATGAAGCTTTTAATTTTACTCTATGGTATTCTTTACTACAAAAATATTGGATAAGTAATATAGATGTATTTCAAATGCACGTTGGAATACAACATATTTGAGATTTCTATAGCTAGGTTACTTCGGCAGTCTGGTATACTAGCACAAGGACACAAGAAAATGGAGTTTTTTTCTAAATCTAGCATTTTCTTTTTATTTATTTATGTCTTTATCATTGAACATTGGTCAAATTTAGACTTCGACATCCTAAATTAAAAAAAAACACTAAATTTAAAACTATGAAATCCTGGCCAATCCTCCAGAGTGGGAATTCGCCATATTTTGGGAAGCTTAAACAAACAAAAAAGTCACAGTTTCGTCGAAAGGGTGAAACAATGAATGCGATAGCAACATATTCGAATGTTTTACGAAACAGTGCAAGCATTTTTAGAGGCAATAGTAATTGTAGTAAACGTGCGCTTTCTAAGTAACCAAGTTTTCATCGGCGCGGCTACAGTAGATAACCACAACAAGGCTTGTGCGTAGTGGCACGTTGATCAGAAGTGCCTCCCGTGGGGAGTCCATGCTGGTTCTCAGGGCTTTACGTCGTGTGTCGCCGCTGGTGGCAGTTTGTTATGTGTTGAGTGCATGTATATGTGGTGAGACCCATTCTCGGGTGTGCTCGGAATGATAGTAATGCAAGACCGACATGGCGAAATGAATTAAGTATATTTAATGACGTGTCTGAATGAAAGGCAGAAAGTACAGTATTTGATAGAAACACTGGTATATATAAATGGAACACAGTTCACTCGATGGCAGCAACAACCACCTTGTGGTCACTGAACTATGTTGGCAATGGCACACAGTTCACTCGTAACGCTACGCTTTTTCCGAATACGATTTCTATACGTGTGTTTTTGCGTGTAGTTGGCTGTGTGACGTCAGACAGGAGATTAAGTCCAAGCTCGGCACCGAGAAACGCCCCAAACCTTATATTTTCACATCGAAGTACATTCACGTTCAAGTTTCCTGTGACGGTCACCGGCACATCCTCTTGCACCAAAGTTGTGGAGCAAGAACTTAATGATGTCGTTCCGCGAGGTTCACGGCAAGATGTACACTGCTGCGACGATCAAGCCGTGTGATGTTTTGACGGCACCACCACAAGTCACTTCGAGCAGCCAGTTGAGTCGGTGTGAAACTGCGCGGCAAAAGCGTTATCCCGTCGAATGGCGACTTCAGCAGCTCGGCGGTTCTGCGAGGCTGATGCACTTACATCCGGGCAGTTAGACGGCAGTGTCCATCCAAGTTTCCGTCAAGCACAGTAGAGGTACCTCACCGATGACATTATCGTGTGAGACCTCAACGACGTGCGAAGGGAACGAGTGTACGTTCATACCACAAATTGCCAATTTCTGTGGTGACTGGGACATGGCGACGAAGCACTTGACAGTGATTGTATAAAGTCGATGATTTTACAAACATCGAAATTCATCCGACAACGTGTGATCCGGGTTTTCTCTACCACAATGAAAGGTGAAGCCCTGTTCTGCGTTTGCTAGAAACAGTTCTTCCGGTGTGGTGGCTCGACTAAAAGAAATGTAGACGACCTTGTGTAGACTCATGCTCGTCTACCCCAATGTATACCCCACACATGCTCGTCTACGAAATGTAGACGAGCATGTGTGGGGTATACATTGAAGAGGCACAGCTGAATACACGCGACAGGAGCGGCTGTGCAAGCACTCGTACTATCATTGGGCATGAGTATACATACAACGTGGTTTGCTGTAGCCTGAAAGTTTGAAATGGGCGCAAAGGCGTTCGCTGACGTATGCGGGTGAAGTAAAATGCGCATTGTCGGTAAGGCATGCAGACACGAGCATAAAGGTAATTGCGGTATTGGTTTGTCTCTGTCCGTGAATACATGAGATGATGAAAACACAGTGAGAAGAACAACGTGGCACGCATGTGGTTTCATGTGGTACTACACGTTTCAGATGGTTCCCCTGTGCATCAAGCTTAAGGAACTTAAGGGCATAGAACAAACGGCATAGAACCTGCAAAACGTGCAAAGCTGCTGGATACCTATAGCTCCGTCTTAAGAAGGTTTCTCGGTGGCTATGTATACCTATGCCAATGTTGTCAAGTGCAGATCTGACTCTGGCAGGGATAATTGCACAAAATCAGTTTACCAAAAATATGAAGCAACGATTGTAATAGGGACAAATTACAATATTGTCACGTTACAACGTAACTGTAACCTGTAGATAATGGCACACAAGGACGTCAAACTGATTCAAACCACGGCTATAAGACTTTATCGTTCTTCTCTGCACGCGCATCTTCGTCCTCTTCTGAACAGCGGCACATACAAGCCTGCCAGCATCTATGCAAATAATACTTTCAGAACTTGTATTAGTGGCATTACCCCCCTTCCCAAAGAACACCATACCCGATGTCACAACATAATTACCATATGAAAAGAAAAGACATACAATAAGCAGTGCACAAGGGGGTGTTCACAATCACTGTAAGTCTACTTAAGGAAGTTTGACGAATAATTAGCGTTGGTAAAATGGTTTCATCCTCAAAACATGGAAGACGTGTGGCTGTTGTGAACGGCGGGATTTACAAGCCATGTCCTCGTCAAGAACCTCGTAGTTTACTCCGCTGAGACGGCGGAGAACTCTACAAAGACCAAAATAGCGGCGTAACAGCTTTTCCGACCGGTCCCGTTGTCGAATGGGAGTCCACAACCATACTCGTTCTCCGGGTTGGTAAGAGACATCGTGACGACGAGCCTTGTACCGCAATGAGTCGATGCATTGTTGCTTGTGGATTCGTTCGACTGCAAGCTTACGAGCTGCGTCTGCCAGTCTGATAAATTCGTTCGCCTTGACACTAATCTGGCGTCTCCCTGGTAGAAGCACGGCATCCAGCATTGTAGTCACCTCCCTGCCGTGAAGCAACCGGAATGATGCGAATCCAGTTGTTTCTTGCACAGCGGTGTTGTAAGTGAACGTGACGTAAGGGAGGATGTCATCCCAGTTTTTGTGGTCCTGGTCATCGTGCATGGATAGCATGTCGGCGATCGTCTTGTTTAGTCGCTCTGTAAGGCCATTGCTTTGTGGGTGGTATGCAGTAGTTTTTCGATGTACTGTGCCGCTATGCTGCATGACGTCTTGTATCATACGGGTGGTAAAAGCTGTGCCACGATCAGTTATGGCAACTGCTGGTGCTCCATGTCGGAGGACGATGTTCTTCATAAAAAAGAGGGCAGTCTCAATGGCGGTGCCACGTTGTAATACCTTCGTTTCGCAGTAGCGCGTCATGTAATCAGTAGCGACTACAATCCAGCGGTTGCCGTCACGAGACTTGGGAAAAAGTCCGAGTAGTTCCATGCCAATTTGTTGGAATGGTTGTGTTGGAGGAGTGACGGGCTTCAAAAAGGCGGCTGGGCACTGATGGGGTGCTTTACAGCACTGGCACTCTTGACACGTCTTCACGTAATGCTTCACGTCTCGATTGAGCTTAGGCCAGTAATAGTGTTGGCGAATCCGGGCCAAGGTACGTGTGAATCCCAAATGACCTAAGGAAGGCTCATCGTGACAGGCGGACAAGACATCGGCTCATAACGCTGGCGGGACGACGAGCAGGTACTGAATCGCGTAAGGGTCGAAGTTTCTTTTACAGAGGATATTTATGCGAACGCAGAACGATGATGATGAGCGGGCGAATGCGGGTGGTGGATGTGGCGTACGGCTTTCGAGAAATTCGATGAATTGTCGAACCTCTGAATTGTTCTTCTGCTGTTCAGCCAAGTCGGATACACTAACGGCGCAGAGAAAACGGCTGTCGAGATCGTGATCACCTGACGCTGTCTTAAGAGGAGCCCAGGAAAGGCAGTCCGCGTCGGTATGCTTCCGGCCAGACTTGTACACGACTGTCAAATCGAACACCTGAAGGCGTAAGCTCCACCTGGCCAGACGTCCGGAAGGGTCTTTAAGGTTCGCCAACCAGCAGAGCGCATGATGATCGGTAACATTTCTGAACAGGCGACCATACAGGTACGGCCTGAAGTTAGCTATTACCCAGGCAACAGCTAGACACTCCTTTTTAAGTGGTTGTGAGATTCGCTTCCGCAGATGATAAAATCCGGCTCGCATAAGCAATAGGGCGTTCGACGCCACCTTGCCTCTGGACGAGGACGGCACCAAGGCCGATGTTACTGGCGTCTGTGTGTAGTTCAGTGTCGGCATATTCGTCATAGTGTCCGAGTCAGGGCTCAGACTGGAGACGCTGCTGGAGCTCAGAGAAAGCGCGTGTTTGCTCAGGGCCCCACACGAAGGGAACATCTTCTTTTGTCAGACGAGTGAGGGGTT